TGGTGGATGGGTGGTGGATGGGTGGTGGATGGGTGGTGGATGGGTGGATGGATGGTTGCTTGCTTGCTTGCTTGGGGGGGATTTGAGATGGGATGGGATGGGATGGGATGGGAGGGTAGGGTGGGTGATCCGCGGCCGGGCAGGGGTAGGGGGGAGGAGGAAGGGGAGGAGGGTGTGTGTATGGTAAATAGAATACTGACGGTATGGTATAGCATCCTTAGGAGCTTGGCTGTTTTTTTACATGTTTTTTTTTTGAGCGAGGACAAGTCGCGAGGAGAATAGAATGGATTGGAATCCGAGTTTGTATGCATGTATCTGACTGGTTGGTTGGCTGGCTGGCTGGCTGACTACACCAACTAGCTCCACCGATGAAACCTACGTGGGCGCCTGGCTGCGTCTACCGTAACGTTACTAGCCCAACACTCCGACGCTCGCCCATGTGCTTCAGGGAAATCCGGGGTCTGCAAATCACTTTGTAGACCAAGGGTACGGTCGATTACAGTGTCGTAGGTGCCGTACAAGACAAACCCTCTACCCCGGCTTTCACCCCGTCCCGCATCCATAACCGGTCTTTTGTTCTTCTAGAAAGAATACAGGTGCATGGTATGCTGTCATGGTGTCATGGGAGAAGCGAAGCGAGTCCAAGCCAAGAGGGGGGGAAGTACCGCTACCCGCCCACACGTTCGCCCCGGGTTTTCTTCTCCCCCAGGCACGACGAGGATGGGGAGGTGGAGAAATTTCTTAGTGGTGGGCGAGGGATTTTCCGGTGGGTGTTGGGGAAATTGCAATGGGTTGGGTTGGGATGGGATGGGATGGGAGTGAATGTGAGCTTGAGCTGGTGCTGGTGCTGGAGTACATGGCGGTACGGTACCGGTACTGGTATGGAAATGCATCCATTCATCCTTCTCTCCGGTAGTCCTGTCGACACCAAGTCGACTAGACGCCTTGTTTCCCCGCACAACTTGGTGTCCGCATGGCGTGCACATGTTCCAGGCACAGACACAGGCACATGCGCTCGACAGGGAGGCGCAATCGTTCAACTGCCTCGGCCGTGTCGGTGCTTGCGCCGTGCGTGCATGCGACAGCCTCGAAGTCCGAGCACGACATGGACGGTACAGGACTACCTGTTTGTTTTGCAGGACTTGGGCGAGTGCGCGAGATTGTGATGGCGTGGTGGGTTGGTGTTGTGTCTACTCTGGTACACCGGTACCTGTTCACACATGCATACGGACTAGGTGGCCGTGCCAGTCCCTACGGTAGGTACCGTACAGTACACCAGACCAAAACCCCCGGCGCAAAGGATCCTCTCCTCGATGACTTTGATTCACCACCTGTCTTGCAAAAGGTTGTTTTGCACTACTGGCTCGCGCTAGTCCACCCCGCAAAATGCAACGCTGTGGAGGAACATGGACGAGGAGATTGGGTGTGTGTATGCGCATGTATGTATGGACATGGACATGTGAGTGTATGGTGTATGGTGCATGTCCATGTCTATACCTATGGGTAGGAGATTACTAGTATGCGGGGAAACCAGCCTAGGCAATATATGCAGGGCAGAAGATGATGCGACTTGGCCACCTAATATCTCTAGTCTTGGTTTGAACATGTAGAGGCAGGAGGGGGGTGGTGTCCCTGTATAACGTTGTGTCGTATTCGCACTCCATCAACTCAACTACCGGACGGTACACCTACCTGGCCATCAACCCCCTCGTCGTAGAAAACCTCCGGCCCGCTAAACCTGTCCCAGGCCTACACCGGTCTCACACGCTCCATTGTCCCCTCTAGCCTTGTTGATATCATATCCACATTTACCATCTATACATACGTACACACAAACCCCACCGGACAGGCAGAAGGGAAGAAGAAAGAAAAAAGACACCCAGGCCACGAGTTCAGCAGCACCATGGGCAAACGTGCACGGTGGCGGTACTCCACACGCATGTAGTAACTAGTCTTAGTTATCTTTTGAACCCCCCAGACTACTACCCATGCCATGTGTGGTATGTACTCCACAAGTAGGTACCAAGCCCACACTAATCCCCAACCTAGACTCCTAGAGTACCCCAGTACCGTAAACCCACTCAATTAACTTTGACAAGTAATTTTTTTTTGCTTTTTTTTAATCCTCCGACGGGCTTGTCCTTGTCTGCTTGTTCCCCTTGTTCCTTGTCTGTGTTGTGCGTTGTTGAGTTCTTGTCCGCGTGTGGGGTTGGGAGGGAGGGGGGATGGTTTGGTGTGGGCGGGGCGTGCTGGGAAGGATGGTTACGTGATACATTGGATCGAAGTGGTGACTACTCTAGATGGACATGTGCATAGCCAGGCAGGTTCTAAAATACAATCTACTCTACTACACAATGTATCCATCTCATTTCCGCCAAAGACTCGAAAAATAACTACCGGTAGCATGTAGCACTTTGCTACCAAACACAGCCACAATTCCATGCCATTCATCAGCATGCCATGCTTGGCACTACTCGCTTCAACGCAGCACGAGTAACAACCAGCTGCATCAAACAAGGTAAACATTACATCACGACACCACCCCCAACCAACACACCAACATGAAAACACAAGGCAGCCGGGTCCTAGTACCTGCTCCTGACTTGTCTCTCATCTGCAAGACGGCGTAAACGGTAAACATGTACGACACATGTGCGGATCCGACACGGGTGCACACGTCTTGGATACCGGTAGGAGAACACGACGCTACTACGTAGTAGTACATGCTATAATGCCACGGGCCCCGAGTGCTAAAAAAAAGCATCGGGTTGGTTACATAGTACAGTGCATAGTGGGTGGGATTGTGGGTGTGGAGGTCTAGCATCATGTGTGTGTGTGTGTAAACTGTATTGTACTATGCTGTATTGTCCGAGAGCAAGTCTGGTATACCATACGACGACTTTGTCTTGTCTATTCGAATGCATGAGTAGCTAAAGGTCCCAACAACGACAAATGGTCTGCTCATCACATGATCATCACGTCTGCCCAATAACATCAACCCCAACACATATCCACATCCACATCCACACACATTTCACCAAGAGCCTGATTCAAGCTGCAGACAGTACACGCAAGTAATAACAATAGTAATCTATCTGAATCTTGCCACAGGCTCCAAAATCCAAGCATCCCAGCCCATTGCGCGCAGCGGTGCCGGGGGTACCGGATGGGAACATCCGGCTCGCTCCATGCATTGTACATAGCGGGACTGCATTGCACCGACTGCAAAAGACAAGAGCGCTTCGGGAGTCACCGCACAGTCAGGCACGAATCAGGTCATGGTAACCTGCGAGTCGTGTCAGTCTTTGTTCTGTGCAAACGTGATCCAGACTCTCCCTCGTGTGATGTGATGTTGAGTTTGAAGCGTCTGTTGGGCGCAAGGGTGGAGAAGGAGGAGAGCACAGAGGAGTCAAGGGGAGGGAACATGACTTACCAGTTCCTCAGCCGATACCGGGTGGATTGCCTAAGAGAGAGCACTGTGCGTTAGCGTTTATTCATCCGTTTTTCCTTCTCATGACAAAAACAATGACCGAAATTGCAATCCTGGAAAACATGCTCGGGCAAGGTTGGGGATGCGCTAGCATGGCGACTGCCCTGCAGGTCTATGTCCTCTACCGTACCCCACAGCCTCAAGCATGTCGCGCCCAGCCCAAGGAAGTGTCCAGCGGTAAGCGTTCCTGCGCGATAGCCGAGGGCGCGTGTCGGGCCTGTGATCCATACTGCATATCCAATCACCGGAGCAAGCCCAATGCATGCGGTACCAAACCAGGACAATGGAGTACAACAGAAGGAGAAACGAGGCCAAAGGGAAACACTTACAACACAGTTATCAAAGTCCTTCTTGGTCGCCCCCATTTTAATCGCCACGCCAAACCCTTGCAGGATCTCACTGCTTCCTTGCCCCAGAATATGCAGTCCGACAACCTTCTCTTCCTTGCCCGCACACACAATCTTGTAGCTCGTTGGGCCCTTGTCCTCCGGGTCCATCATGGCATAGTACATGCCCGTGAACTCGGTCTTGTAGATCTTGACCGCATCACCGTACTTCTCGCGAGCTTCCGGTTCGGTGAGACCGATGGAACCAATTTCAGGGTGAGCAAAGACGACAGAGGGAATGTTGCTGTAGTCTAGCTTGGCATTCGTTTGCCCATTGAACAGGCGGTCCGAGAGGCGGCGGCCCGCGGCGATGGCAACAGGCGTCAGCTCGAAGCCACGATCGCAGACATCACCAATGGCGTAGACGTTGGGCAAGGAAGTGTTTTGGAATTCATCCACTACAATGTGATTACGGTCGTTGAGCTTGATGCCAAAGTCTTTAATGTGCAGGTCTTCGATTTCGGGAACGCGGCCAGTGGCAAAAAGAACTTCTTCAACTTCGACCGTGGACTCTCTCTTGGTTGCCGTCTCCTGGTAGGTCACCCGTTTGATGCCATTGCCCATGTCTTGGACTTTGGTAATCTGCGACCCCTTGTACAGTTGGATGCCCTGGCGTTCGTACTCCTTGGTCACGGCGTCCTGGATCATGGGGTCAAATGTGCGGAGCAGCTTGTCGCCACGGATGAAGAAGTGTGTCTTCGTGCCCAGGGCGTGCAACATGCCCGTCATCTCCACACCAATGTACCCCGCACCGCTGGTGGCGATGCTCTTGGGCTGTTTCTCGAGGTCGAAGAAGCCGTCGCTTGTGATGCACAATTCTGCGCCGGGGATCTCGGGGATCTTGGGTCGGCCACCGGTGGCAACGAGGATATGCTTTGCCTTTACGCGCTGTACGCCTCCGTCATGGAGTGCGACTTCCACCTCATCTTTGGCGACAAACTTTGCACGGCCTCGCAGGTGCTCGATATGGTCCTTGTTGAGATTGTTTTCGTAGATGCCATTGAGGCGTTTGACATAGGCGTCCCGCTTCTTCTTGAAGTATGGCCAGTCGAAAGCTGGCGTCTCGCCGACCTGGAAGCCATACGCTTTTGCGTCGTGGAAAGTTTCCGCAATCGCCGCCGCGTTCCACGTCACCTTTTTGGGCACGCAACCGACATTGACACAGGTTCCTCCGTATCGCGACGACTCGACGGCAATGACTTTTGCGCCATACTTTGCCGCTCGTCGTCCGGATGCAATACCCCCGCTGCCGATGCCAATGACGAGGTAATCACACTCCTTGGTGGCAGATGACATGGTGATTGTCGATGTGGAGAAGTGCTGTGTGAGGTTCGATAGACGGGCAGACGCCAGCTTGCTTCTCGAGGCTTGGAGCTGTGGCTGGGACGAGTGAAGAAGGGCGGGGCGTGCAGATGATGGTGGGGCAATGGTGGAAGAGCAGAGAGCCGAAGACAGAGCTCGCAATCTACAGACTGTTGTTCTGCGCATTGAAAGGGGGCAAGGTCGTCTTCTTATGCAGATGACGCACGCATCAAAAGAGCTAGCTAGCATTGATTTTACGAAGCACCAGTGTGGTATAGTTCAAAGCAGTTTGGGTTGGATGGGATGGGCGGGCGATTCCTTAGTCATCCTGGTGGGTAGAGTCTGGATGCAGAATTATATGTCAGACATGTTGGCGGACGAACAAACGGAGAAATGAGGGTGGTGGTACTAGGCTGGTGAGTGGAAGTAAGATGTAAGCCTGCCATGTGCAAAACCCATCGAGATTATACATACAATTGCTTTCCTCTCGCGGATGTGCGAAATCGGAAAAGAGGACAAAGTCTACTACTCTGCCAGTCCTCGATGCTTGACAGGGAACTAACTATCCAGACTCACAGGCTTCCAGCCCTCGTCACGTGCAGCACATCTCGGCGGGGTTCCTCCAAGAGCACTAGGCTTGTTTGGGATAGCTAGGAGACGAATTACCTCATCGATCATACTATAGATTGATGCCGCTGCCTGCACGCGAGCGAGAGTGACTTCGTCTGGCGACAGCGATTCCATGTCTGTCTGATCCGTCTGTCAATTGAAAAGTATATGCGTGTTGGTGGAAGGAGAGCCAAACCATGCCAACAAGCAATAGTAGCAAGCGCTTTCTCCCTACCTAAGCACTGTATCGCACAACCTCGCCAGCAAAGTCACACCACTCCACAACGTCCTCCAAGCTAGTTGTCGCGGTTGGCGCAAAAAGACTATCATCACTTTACCTCAACGTCGTTCTCGGAAACCTTGAAAACCTTGAAATCTTGCCAACATGGGCGGCAGACTCTCCATGCCCAAAGGCCCAGACGGCATCAGCGAAACCTCGAAACCCACGTCAGCCAGTGCGACCGCCCGGCTCAGCAGAAACAAGGGCATCATCAATGGCCGTGTACGTCCGTGTCCCAGCTTGCTCAGTCTCTCCGGCTAATGCACTGCCAGACGGTCATGGCTCCGCTCGCCGCTCTCACAATGGCTGGCCTCCTCTTCGTCTACGCCCGCACCTCGATCCGCGCCGCCAAACTCAACGCACAGAAGCACCGCGAAGCAGATGGCGGGCAAATTAGCTGGCATAAAGAGAGTCTCAGGCGACATGGGCAGTTGGACAAGGTGGAGGATGATCGAGGGACTTTGAAGGAAGCGCTAATGGGTGATATACAGGGCAGGAAGAAGAGGGAGAGGAAGGAGGGGGCCGGCGAGGAAACGAAGGCGCCGGTAGAGAGGTCGGAGAATGACCAGGAGCTGAGGAATATGCTAGGCAAGAAATGATGAGCCTGTACACAGGCCTTGTCATTTTTTGTGCTATCCTCTCTGAGCCTGGGTAGTTCAACGTGGGTCTACAAGTTGGAGGGGAATACATTTATTTAGTCTATTGAATCGTCCATGTACAGCATGTCAACAGTACTTCAAGACAAGACCTTGATTTGGTTAGTTTCCAGGTTCTAACAGCAGCGGTGAGACAAGCAGTTGACACCAATCCAAAAGCTTATTTGTATCCATCCCCAGTACCTTTGTTACTAGAGTCCCACGTTCCGCGGCCGGCATGTAGCTGCCGTAAAACACAACCGTACCACGCTGGGAGTGTAGGTGGGATGCAGGCCTCATAGGTTGTGTGACACTGGCGCACATTGCGTGGATACTCTAGTACTACACGTCCAAGAGTCTTCTTCAAAAGCAAATGGCAAGTTGCACAGCAGCCTGGGTTGTGATTTGCCGACGTCTCACTTCTCGTAGCTGGTCTGGGTTCACTGTAGTAGATAATAGTGAGAGTACTCTAGTAGTAGCTGTTGAGCTTCACATGTTCCTAGGTGCATGCAACCCCGCCTTTTTCAGCCCACAGCTGCAGCCCCTCGCCCCTCGCCCTTGTCAAGATGGGGTGAACATGGCAGCAATTGAGGGTTGCCAGAGGCAGCATACGGTCGACACAGCAGAAAATCGCCGTGGTTGCATAAGGGAGTCTGATGGACGATTCCTGTGCGGGTGTGGACGATGGGCGATGAGTGATGAGCGACCATTACCCCCCTCGATCAGACATGGAGGTGTCTATCGTAGTTGTCCATCACAGCGAGTTGCAGCCAATGGTCTGGCATTACTGCGGCCGTTTAGACTGTTTCGGCCATGTTTAGAGTAGCAGCACAAAGCTATGAGCTTAACCCCACCATTTCACCACCTCGCCCTCGTCCCAACCCATCTGCCTAAACCAACACTGCCAGTGCCGGCCGTTGACATTGACATTGTCATTGTCGTTGACACTGCCACTGCCACTGCCACGACCACCACCGTCAATACGCATCACCCACACCATCCACCATTGAGCACTTTGGCGCGGTGGTCTTGATGGAGCTTGCCCGGCTACTGGCCTCATCGCGATTGCCGTAGGAAGACGAGATTGTCTTCCTCAGCTAGCGATAGCCAGTATGCCCGAGCGCGACGAGGGGAGGCCAACCGTTCAACGCGACATCCCGAATCGTCCGCGAGATCTGAATGAAGTGTCAAGGGCGGTGTTGAGGAGTGAGCAGGCCAAGAGGTGGACCAAGAAATATCGCACCGAGGTGGCCGCCAGCTCCAGTAGTCTGCTGTCTACCTTTGCTGCCGTACGTGCATCGCAATGGCCGCAGAAACAAGGGGCTTGGTTGACAGTGGGGCTGATGAGTTAATCTAGTATCCTCTCGACTCTGTCAAGACGCGGTTGCAGGCGTAGGTTGATCCTCTACCTATTGATGACGCCCACAGTCGACTAACCTCAGCCAGCTACAAGTTCAACTCCTTCACCGACTGCGTTCGCCACACATATAGGACCGAAGGTCTACATGGCTTCTACCGCGGTATGCCGTCTACATGCTTACTGAATAATTCAAAGCAGTCATACTAACCATCGCCTTCTAGGCGTCTGGTCCCCCCTCGCAAGCATCACTCTCGTCCGAACCGTTTCCTTCTCGATATACCAACGCTCCAAATACGCGCTCGATGAGTGGATATACAAGTCTACAGGGAGCTCACCACTGGCTATCGTAAACAGCAAAGACACTCTACCCACACTTTCGACGGTCGCATGTTTTGGGTTGGCTGGTGTCAATGCAGGCGCTGCCATAACAGTCATCGCTTGTAGGTAACTGGCAGTGGAACCACGAGGCTGATTAGACGCTGACTTTGTGTAGGCCCTTTTGAATTGACCAAGCTCAGCGCTCAGATTTCAGTCTTGATGGCCGATCGCAATGACGGAGGCGGCAAAAATGAAGCGATACGCAAAAGCTACCAAAATCTTGGGACCTGGAAGACGGCCCAGAATTTGATCAAGCATAGGGGTTGGAGAGGATTGTACTCGGGCTTCCATTTGCATTTGTGTAGGTGGCTTTGAAAATGGCAGTGCATGTGAGAGGAAAGCGGCTAACTCAAACCTTGCAGTGCGAGACTCGATTGGCACAGGAATCTACTTTCTGACGTACGAGAGCGTGAAGCAAGTCTTGGCGAATGCAAGGGGCACTTCACCGACACATCCTCTGGCTGTGGTAGTGGCTGGTGGACTATGTGGACTCGTGAGCTGGGCATGTGTATGTGACATGACATCTTCCAATATAAGAAGCCAACATGGGGATACTAACACCCCGGGCAGATCTTCCCAATCGACACAGCCAAGAGCATTTACCAACGCAACTGCCTCGTCGGCGGTAAAGACCAGGCCACAAGACCCAAGATCCAATTCTTCAACCGCCGCATGTACCGAGGTGTGTATAACCCGCGTCCCACTCTTGGGAGAACCTCGCAAATATTGCAAAGCAACACTGAACACTGACGCATGACTAGGTCTCGGCGTATCCATGTCTCGCTCCTGCGTCGTAAATGCAATCTTCTTCACTGCGTTTGAGTTTACAAAGAAGCGCATCAATGGAATGACGTATGATGAGGATTTGTTGCGTGAAAGGGGGGTATGAGCGGCAGTAGGAGGAGGTGGAAGATGGGGAGGAGGAGGCATGATAGTACTAGGAGCAGCAGTACAAGGAGTAGCCAGCAGCAATAGTTTGTCTGGCTCGACTACGCACCAAATTTCAGCTAGCAAAGCAATACTTGATATCTTTTTCCATTCTTCTCCTCCGTCTTCTCCACTCCACACCCAGTCCCAGTCCCAGTCCCAACCCATTCAAAAGCAAACTCCTAAATAACAACACCGATGAGCAGCATCTTGAATCAATATTCCTCCTCTCCTTCCGCGTTTTTTTCTTCTTGCCGTTATCCCTTGGATGTTTTTCTTTTACACGCTCTTGTGGGAAAATAATGGTTGCGGGGATGATTAGCGTGGAGGAATCAAGAGGTGGGTTTAGCGGGGTGGGTGTGGGAAGTTGGGTGGGGGGAAGATGGGTTTTCCGTTTGGTCAGTACGGTCTTGAAGTTTTGGGGTGAGTTTTAGGAATCTAATAGAAGGCATGGAAATACATGGAGTTGGCTAGACTTCACTGGATGGAGTGACTACATGTGTGCTTGAAGTAATGTAACACCTCCGTTGCTCATCACTACAACATCCTGTGGGTGGTAGCTCCTCCTCAGTATGACTTTATGGCTCGCCATGCTCTGAATCATGTTTGATTATCAGCCAGGATTCAATAGCATACCGCGCTCCTTCAACTCTGGACATGTCTTCGCCTTTCACATTGCCTCGTCGTCTTCGTCGTCTTCGCCGTCTTCGCCGTCTTCGTCGTCTTCGTCATCTTCGTCATCGTCGTAACAATAGTCGAGCGGGTTTAAATCAATGCTTTCCTGAGGACTTGCCAGAATCTCTGCATACCTCATTATGACTCCGACAAGGAATTCGTTTGGGAGTCTAATGTTCTGCAGATCAGCTACGCCATTGTCGTACTCTCTCGGTCTATAGAACGCGCATTGTACGTGGATGAGTAGACGTAGAACATGATTTTCCTTGGGGAGTTGTTCAAAGGCTGTCGTGATGGCGGTATAGGAAGCTGGTGTCCCATGGCAGATCATGTCGGATGCTAGGGATTCCATTATAGTTTGTCGAAACTTGGGTGCAAGGATGCGCTCAGCCAAGATCAAAGCCTTGATGATCTTGGCCTGTCCTGCATGAACACAGTCCTTTTCCGATATCCGCAGATTGTTAAAGGTATAAAATTCCGGTAGTCTCTGTGTGTAGAGCCAGTCTGTAAACACATCAACTGTAGATCTCGTTAGTATCTTGTTGAATCTTCACCAGCAGGATTTTTTTTGGCACAAACATGTGGCGCATTCTACATCCTCTAGCTTCACTACGCGCTCTTTTGCTTCTTTCCATGGCCCGTTTAGGGCTTTTTTGAAGAATTTGGAGTGCTTGCTGAGCAACGCAGCGTGGATATGATACTGGGTATGCACGGGTCCAATCTCGACAACAGCGAAGCGGCCTTGGCGTATGAAGGAGCTGTTTGAGGGATTTAAGTGAGCAGTTCGACAACATGTGCTATTTAGTTGGATGTGCCCACCTTAGCCGACACAATTCTTTATACCCTTCGTACGCCATGGCGAGTGATTGCAGTGAGCTTGTCGGTTCTCTGAACAGCACTGATGTGTTATCGAGGTTGGAGGTAAGTGAAAGGTGCTAGGTGCTAGGTCATAAACTTATAGTGGTAGGTAAGCAGTGGTGAGGTGACGGTCACGTTGAGGTGATAGCAAACGGTTTGCAGACTCACTGCTTCATAGGATTACCACACCACGAAGCCTTCTAGGCCTGATGTGCTATTACCGGACCATTAGTATCTGCGAGGCTCGCCAGGATCCCCATAGACGTGTCTGGATATCGTGTTCTCCAGGTTGTAGTAAAACGAGTTACCCTGGGAGTCCTTCCAAAGACCATTCGACAGACTCGCGCAGTCTCTTCACTCTTGAAGAGCATACTACAGTTCCGCAACTTTGGCCCTCCTTATACCAAGACTCGCTCCACTGCTGGATGGGAATCAATAGATTATGTGAAAATTTTACAGCTTCGGCGCTGTTGAATAAGTCAGCGTTGTGGTAGCAACGACCAGAGTGACTCGTGTGTCGTACCTGATGAGAACTCTGCGACTCATCACTTATAATTGTACCCCGATTTTAGCAAAAGTGTCCCCAAAATGAGAGAGGGCGCAAAGACACCACACGAGATCAAAGTGATTGCTCACTTCCCTGCTCCTTATTTACCCTGGTATCCTCCCAAGGATTCATGGTTCGTATATCCCTCAAGCCCATACTAAAAAACCATCGGGCTATGCTACGACTAATGCCAATAAGACCTGACGAACCAGCATACGAGTCCATGTATCCACATTGTACAGCAAGAGTACATTAATCTACTCAGCACTTAGTGTAGGCCATAAAGTACATCTGACGCAATACTATCTTGCACATTTTGGCTCTGCTGATTCCTTCAGCGTTCTCACTACATTAGAGAATATCAGATAGCCTTATACTTTGTATATGAGTGTCGATATTCAGATAACACTTTCAACGGCTCCATCGCGCGAAGAGGAACAACTTGCCGTGCTGTCTTATCTGGACCGTAGTTAAACGTACTTGGAGAATCCCTACACGCCCAAGCGCCATGGCGAAAGGGAAATGGGAAACCTTCGGTCAGATGGCGGGCTATGTATCCGAGATTCTTTCACCGCGATGCACGGTTTTTACTACGAGTTTCCGTTTAGGGTAATATCAGGGGAGGAAGTTTGGGTGGGTGGAGATGAGTTCGGCTTTGTTTGCAGAGGGGGTTTGGGTGTGGCGTGCGTTGGAGATTTCTTTTAGGGAAAATGATTGGGTGGGTGGGTGAGAGGGACCGAGGTTGGAGGGATTAAAGATGAGCTTGCTTAGTGATGAAAGAGATGGAAGTGATGGTGAGCTATGATTGTGTGCCGAAGAGTCATCTTGTATGGTCTGCTCTATACTCCAGGGGAGTTATCTCGTGGTAATTTGTTGTTTTAATCTACCACAGTATTATGATCAGTATAGAATTGGGTAAGATGATTGCCGGGTGGGTAGGATCAGGGGATACAATAGTCACACTTCCAATCTGTGCACCCTTGCCTCAAGAGATTTTCCCATTGGATCTTTTCAAAACATGCACACAAGTCCATGTGCCATGTTGTCCGATCAGTTACACTGCCATTTCCCCGTGGAGTACGCTGCGTCTTCGAACATGACGTCATTGTGGATTTTGTGTTTCGTGGAAGACACGAAGAACGTTGCAAGACTCAAGCCGGAGATTATCCAGGAACATCCCATGCGAGAAACGAGAAAGCCCCACATCTGCCTCGATGGCGATGCCACAAAAAGGCGATCGTGGATATCCCCATGATACGAATCCTTCGAATGTTCGTCTCCCTCATCGTATCACCCACGTACTATACGGTCTCTCTGCTAGAGTCTCTATGGTAGAGGAACAATATCTTGCAATGCTTGCCTACGGAGGTCTCTTTGACCAGCAGACGGCACTTCAATGATCCAAACCCAGGCTCATACAAAACAGTCACAGCGATTCATGCTCACGCAAAAACCCAGGCTTATCGCATGTCAACGGCCTACCTCGGCCAACACTAGCTTCCTACTCACCCAACCACACTCTCCAAAGCTTACGCTTCACAAAGAACCCCCACATGCACGCCCCTAGCCATGACGTCCCACGTCTCCAGTTTCGAAAAATCATCCATGCTCAAAGAAGAAGAAAAAATCGCCGTCAAGGCCGCAGAGCCTCACTCGCGACCCACTCCATCTCTGATACAATCCAGTAGGATTGCATCGCTTGGTATAGCTTGGAAGAGATCAAGCTTTCGGGCATCGGAGCTTGACGATTATGCAACTCAGCTTTATATCCCATTAGCGGCTTTGTCGAAGAAATGACGTTGTAAAGCCATGGAGAACGCGCATGTGGTCTCACAGACATGACGACATCAAGCATGAGTGAGCGGTCATCGCCCGTTATAACAGAGGACAAGGAGCATGTGGGGGAGTTTAAATATATGGCGTAGAGTCCCCACACGCACATCTCCGTCAAGTCGAGATATCTGCTTTTGACTTGACTGCAACGCCCACATCCTACACAACGAACGTCATGGCGATACTAGATCGGTTCAAGGGCAGGAGGCACGAGGAGTCGCCTGCGTCGTCGGCCATGGCGGCAGATCTGGAGAAGAAGCCCCAGATTCTGCAGGTCGGGATGAAGGACATATTTCGTGTGCGCATTATTGCAATGGCTATCGTTGTGTCCATGGGTGGTTTTATCTTTGGCTATGTAAGATTTACAGTATATCGCCGAATTCAACACAGCACTGACATGGAACGTAGGATACTGGTCAAATCTCAGGTTTCATCGAGATGCCTGATTTCCTCGAGAGGTTTGCCGACGAAACAGACGAACAAGGAGGTCTGAAATTTAGTAACTGGCGATCGGGCTTGATTGTTGCGCTGGTATGTTGGCAATGTTTCTGCTTAAAGGTCACGAATTCTGACAGGATTGCAGCTTTCCATTGGCACACTCATGGGCGCTCTCATCGCTGCTCCCATTGCCGACAAATTCGGTCGGAAATACTCGATTGTCTTCTGGAACATCATCTTCTGCGTCGGCGTCATTGTCCAAATCACCACAACAGGCGTATGGTATCAAGTGTCACTCGGCAGATGGGTGGCTGGACTTGGTGTAGGCGGCTTGAGTGTTTTGACGCCAATGTATCAGTCGGAGACTGCTCCTCGTTACGTTCGCGGTGCGCTCGTGTCATGCTACCAGCTCTTCATTACACTGGGCATCTTCGTTGCATACTGCATCAACTTTGGCACCGAGGCAGATTCTAGCGCGAGGTCGTGGAAACTACCAATGGGTATTGGCTTCATCTGGTCTGTCCTGATGATAGTCGGTATCCTGTTCATGCAAGAGTCTCCGCGGTGGGAGTACCGCAAGGGCAAGATTGACAGCGCGCGACACACCATTGCGCTTACATATGGTGTAGCCGAGGACCACCCAGAAGTCGTCAACGAGATCCGCGAGATTGAAAAGAAGCTCGAGGCTGAGCGTGCTGGCGGCGATCATCACCCGTGGTATGAGATTTTTACTGGTCCGAGAATGGGGTACCGTGTGCTTCTTGGTATCACACTCCAAGCTCTGCAGCAGTTGACTGGCGCCAACTAGTAAGCTCTTTCTCGTCTCTAGCCTACAAGCTATTGCTCACACACTAACAGTTACTTCTACTATGGAACGACCATCTTCAACTCGGTCGGGATCAGCAACTCCTACGTCACCTCCATCATTCTCGGCGCCGTCAACTTTGGAACAACATTCCCGGGCCTCTACATTGTCGAAAAATACGGCCGTCGCCCTTCTTTGATCTACGGTGCGCTCTGGATGTTCATGTGTTTCCTCGTCTTTGCCTCGCTCGGTCATTTTGCACTTGAAAACGACAATGGCACTTCGAGCCAGGGTGTTGGCTACGCCATGATCACATTTGCATGTCTCTTCATTGCCGGATTCGCCATGACATGGGGCCCGATTGTGTGGGCTGTAGTCGTAAGTTCTCAATATACAGTCATCATGGTAAAGAGTTGACGCTGACGAATTTTTCCAGGGTGAAATCTACCCCAGTCGCTACCGTGCAAAGTGCATGGCTCTAGCCACAGCCAGCAACTGGACATGGAACTTTCTGCTTTCCTTCTGTACGTGCCGGCCTTCTCAGTCCATCCTTTTTCCATGCACTTCTTCTTCTCCCGGCATGCGTACTAACCTACCTCAGTCACACCCTACATCACCTCGGCCATCGACTACCGTTACGGCTACGTCTTCGCAGGCTGCTGTTTCGCCGGCGCTCTCGTCGTCTACTTCTTCGTATGCGAGTCCCACGGCCGCAGCCTCGAGGAAATCGACACCATGTATATTCTCGGCGTGACGCCCTGGAAGAGCAAGCACTGGCATCCTACGCCCGGCGAGGAGCTGCCCACGCTGGATAACACTTATTTGACGCCTGGCGCGAGGGGTATCAATAAGAAGAATGAGGCCAGGCAGCCGGAGATGTTGAGGACGGAAGACGTGCCGCCTGTTGCAGAGGCGGATCTAGTGGCTAGTGGGGCCACGGGGGGTAAGCGATGAAGAGGTTGTTCGTGAGAGGCTGGCTATAGATGGATAGAATAAAGTAATGAGATGCGAGTCAACTCTATCTAGTCTTGACATGTTTGAATGGGTGTCAAGATTTGCGGGCGTAGTGATGTTGTCTGTTTGATTTCATCATGATAGTCGCCATCAGAGAGCGTAAACGTCAATTGCCTTGAAAACTGAGTAAATCGCTCTGCTATCTGTGTGTATCTGTTGCTCCTCTAGTCATGGTGCAGGCAACAATATCCACTAGCCCCGGTAATCCCCCACAAAAACGAATACTCGACAGATACACACGCGAGCAAAAAAAAGAAAGTTCGAAGAATCCCGAGTACAAACTCAGGCACGTTGTCCCCTTCGTGGATCGAACACGATACCTCCAGATTTAGTGACTGATGACTTCAGTCTGGCGCTCTCCCAATTGAGCTAAGGAGACTAGTTGGGTTTTGATGAAAAGTCGTGGGATCGCACATAATATATTGCGACATGGACTGTATTCTGGTCATGGAGGAGCGCATTGGTGAAGTACAAGTGGCACGATGAGGGCTAGAAATTTGCTCGCGGGGGGTTGGGGCGGGTGCTGAAGGATAGGATGTGTGCGAGTCATCTCCGACGACCCAAACCGGACTAGGTCGGCGTCTGGTCAACTGTTCCTTTATAAACGCGCTTCGGCTTGGCGCGGATAGGACTGTTTATGCCATGACCTCACCATTCCACCACTTTGTCACTTTCGCAACCTCTGGAGTTTTTCTACAACACACACTGTTTCCTTGGGCCAGAAACATAAAGAATTCTGGTTTTAATAGAATAATAACTTAACTCGTGCACCTACACACAGGAACATTGTCCATCTTCTCTGTTACCCAACTCTCGACTTAATTTCTATTCAACTAAATTCCCACACGTCTCAATCCTGCATGGCGATTGCGCAGAATTGGTTGCCGCCGTCGCGCGAGAATTGGGAGTTTGTGTGTTATATCTGGCAGTTTTTTCCAATTGTGAGTCTTGCTATTTCTTGATATACATGATTCGTGCTCGTGCCGCACGCAATGGATTGCTTTTTGCTGATGGGTCGTTGTTTGCAGATTACGGCAGTGCAATGGTTGGTAGAGTGGTATCCGCAGGGTAAAACGTCGACGGAATCTCGGTTCAATATCCCGGGAAAGATTGGGTGGGCGACGATGGAGAGTGTGGGTTTCATGGCGTTGCTGTATATCATGTACAGTTTACCGCAGGAACTGGGGATTGAAAAGTTGCCGATTGGGAATTGGACCATGGCGGGATGTTTTGTACGATTCCACCCCTTTTCCTCCTCCTGGTTCACTCAACTCAGGATCATGGATGTCGCTAACGATGGATGGTAGGTTATACACTACATCTACCGCGCGGTGCTCTCGCCGCTGTTTTTGAATCCCAGCATGTCGCCCATGCACCCACTGGTATGGTTCCTGGCATTTACCTTTCAACTCCTCAACGCCGTGTCCATAGGCGGCTACCTAGCAGGCTACGGCCCCACGCACCAAAGCGAATGGGCAAGCCGGGCAGAATACATGTTTGTCGGCTTGGTCATTTGGTGCTGGGGTCTCCTAGGCAACATCTTTCACGACGACGATCTGCGCGAGATTCGACGCAGTGCCGACCGCAAGCAGCGGAAACTGGCAAAGGAAGAGGGCAGGGCGGTGGAGAGCGTGGATAAAGTGTACATGGTGCCTAAGAATGGGCTGTTCAAGTACGTGCTACATGCGCATTATCTATGCGAGTGGATCGAGTGGGGAGGATGGTGGATGATGGGCGGACTGAGGTGTGTGCCTGCGCGAACGTTTTTGGTGAATGAGATTTCGACCATGTTGCCTAGGGCGTTGCAGGGGAAGAGGTGGTATGAGAAGAAGTTTGGCAAGGACAAGTTGGGTGGGCGCAAGGCCGTGATCCCTGGCTTGATCTAGCAGCCAGTCTACTACCGTATCTGGGATGACTTGACGATGGGCAGGCAGATTGGTTTGTGGGATTAATTTGCAGGAATCATGGGACAACACACACACATTTTAGATGTCTGTACGGTACTACCTAGACCCAAGTAGATGAGCTTCTTCGATACATGTCCACAATGTGCGAGATGATGACGACATCTCCAAATCTGCATCAAGCCTCTCTTCCATCGATTCTGCCGCCCAACTAAACACGCCAGCGTCCAACACAATCAGCCCTCGCCCTCTGATTGTTGGTGCTCGCTTCCCCCTTCAAACGGTACCCAACCAATACTAGGAGGAGCACTTGATTGTAGTCCACAGAGTCCTGGCCGCAACCGCATCACGTTAGTCGCTCTCGATTGCCGAACGACGGTTGACCAGCAACATTGCATGGCCCCACCAACGCAGCACACCAAGCTTTCCCCACCCAGATCCTTCAACCTTTGTGGAACAAAGACACTTTGCCTATGGTACGGCCGCGTAAACACATCTTGACCATACGATTTGTGTGTTTTTACACATCCATTGTAGATCGTTGAGGAATCGTTTGAACTAGGGGTAGGGGGAGGGGGGGATGCAAGACGTGCAGACTCCTGTGCCATCTGTCCCAAGCTCTGCAAATCTCCCCCGTTGAATTTGGATGGGTTGGTTTGATGGGGGGGGGGGGTGAGCAATACGCACGCACACGCAAGCATGCACGCACGCGCGCGCAGTGTAAGCAGAAATTTGAGCAGCGCAGAAAAGAAGTGGGCGCGGGGCGAGAAATTACCGCGGCGTGGCCGGGGAATGGGCCGATGCAATGGGCATGGTACCGGATGTATGTATGGCTATGTGTATGTACCTTGGGTAGCGTTGGTAGTTTGTTGGTGTTCGAGGACAGCGCAGCGCACTATTGACGGGAGTGGGTAGTGTACCATGGCATGTGAGGTTGGATGGAAGGTTGGTCGTCATGGACGATGAATGCCTAGACTGGGAATTGCACTATTGAGAGAAGGGCGGAACGGGGATGGTGGAGGCAGAGATTAGAATATCTAGATATAGGTACATAGCCAGCATAGCCAGCATCGTATGTAGGTACACATATCATAGGTGTAGAGAGAGAGATACATGACGCTACTGTATGTACCAAATGGATGAATGAATGAATGAATGAATGAATGAATGTACATGTAACCTCATCGGCCTATCACCATCTCGCCGTAGTACCTAGCTCAATTGCACTAGTCCCGCCAGCCCGAGCTATATTAAGAAAAGTGGCCAAATTGAGATGGACCCATCACGAGCGCACGGACTACTTGGTGAAGATGGAGGAGAGGGGAGGGGAGAAGGTTGAGGTTGAGCTCGTATAGCGGCGGTGGTGTGAATGTATCTCTCTGCGCGGCATGGGGAACTGGGCAATTGGGGTTGCATGTATACAGAGTATCGTTATTGTGGTATGGTAGACAAGGGGGCACGTTTGACCCCCTCGACACGTACCCCCCCGCTCTCCATGCCAGCCATGGGGTGTGTAGATCCATCTCGTGGATCCGCATCCTCGTCGTCGTGTCGAGCTCAGGTGGGAAAGGAGAGAGGAGAGGGCACTGCAAAGGCGCTTGTCTCTATCGGGCTCTAGCGCAGTCGCCGGGATCACCCAGCATCGGCACCTGCTGGTTTAGGGCTGGGGGAGAAAGGAAGCTAGGCCAGATTGGGCCCGTCAGCCTCTCTTCCGGGTGTCTGCCGTGAATGGGTGTGAGTGAGAGTGAATGGATTGTAAGAGTGAATAGATTGTAAGAGTGAATGGATTGTAAGAGTGAATAGATTGTAAGAGTGAATAGATTGTAAGAGTGAATAGATTGTAAGAGTGAATAGATTGTAAGAGTGAATAGATTGTAAGAGTGAATAGATTGTAAGAGTGAATAGATTGTAAGAGTGAGTGGATGGGTGTGAGAGTGAGCAGACGACAGACAGGACAACTGTTGGCCCATTCTTCTTTCTTTCTTTCTTTTTTTCCTTATTTCCTTATTTCCTTATTTCTCTGCTTGCGTTGGCTTGTTCGTTTTTTATAGAGGATGATTCTATCCATGGTTCATTGCATGCAAATCGCATGGCTACTGTTCGGGTTAATGAATTCACTGCCGTCGATACAATGTCACAAGTCGTGATTAGATTCCAGGCAGACCCTGTAGAGCGGCTCTCCAAAAGACTACTGCTGCACAATATACCTAACCGTACAGTAGTGTTGACGTTAGTGCTGGCGCTGCTCTCTCTCTCTCTCTCTCTCTCTCTCTCTCTCTCTCTCTCTCTCTTTTTTTTTTCCTTTTCTTGGGCCAGCCAGGGCATCGCTTGCATTGACATTCAATTGGCAAACCCGCTCAGCCATTCTCCACTTTCGCACGCTGCCCAGCCGGCCGTCTCCTGGCTCCTGCACCCACCACCCACCTCCCTCTTTGGCACCCACTTCCACCCCCTCCCCTCCCCCCAATCCTTCCCAAAGGTGGGCAGATATCGTAACTCGTGTACATCCTCATCAGATCCATCACTTGTCCTCTCTTCCACTGCATTGGGGCCACTCGTAGCACGAGCATCTCTCTCCTGTCCTGTTGTTGCATGTGCTACTGCATTCCGCCCAACATCCTCCTCCTGAGTGTCTCCCTCACCCAATCGACTCCCCGTTTTTTTTTAATCACGGCGGCTCTGCTCCGCTCCGTGCTATCCATCCAGTGCCCACTCATCGCACCATCGCCTCGCCTCCACCGCCAGCCAGTCCGTCATTGTTGGCTGCGGGTCCATCACATCATCGCTTCTGGTGTTTCCCTCGCCTTTCCTCCTTGTCTCTCCTCCCTGTTCGCCGTCCGACATCTCTGACCTCTTCTCTCTCTCTTGACCTCGCTCTCCGCGTCGAGAAGTCGTCACCATGTCGACCAGCGTCCCTGGCAGTACGTTGCAGCCTTCCCTTGTTCCATCCAATGTCCCATCTCCTCCATCTCTACCTTCTCCTTCTTTGCCCCAGCAGTCTCCTCCCGCTGTCTCGCCTCCTTCCTTGCCGCCTGTAACACCTTCTGCAGCGCCTTCGGCCGCGCCGCCGCAATCTTCACAACCCTCACAACCGTCTCCTGCTGCCCCATCGCCCTCGTCTAACCAATCCTCAGCGGCCCCTCCAGCCTCGAGTCCGCCGGCCCCCGAAAGCCCTTCGCCTCCACCTGCGAGCCAGCCGTCGCCTTCGAGTGCGCCTCCACCGGCACCGTCGCCGAATCCTCCCCCTCCGGCAGCCTCGTCAGCACCACCACCACCACCTGCTGTCTCGAGTGCACCACCAGCACCATCACCATCACCACCGCCGCCCTCGCCGCCGCCAACAGAGTCGTCCGCACCTCCTTCGCCACCACCCTCGCCGCCACCTAGCCAAGACACGACCCAGGTTGTCACTGCCTCACAGCCTGCCCCAAGTACCGAAGTCACGACCATTTTCGTCACCTCGACTCCACAGGGACCTGGTGCGCAACCGACCGTGATTGTCATCACATCTACCGTCCAAGGCCCTAGTCGCGCGCCCGAACCTACCGCCGTGACCACTGGCACCGCTCGCCCGTCCAGCACCGACCCGACACAGCTGCAAAATGCCCAAGGCGGAGGCGGCTCGGGTGGTGGTCTCAGCACCGGCGGCAGGACAGCTATTGCGGTCGTTATTCCCGTAGTCGCCGTCGCCCTGCTCGTCCTCGGCGGTCTGTTCTTGTGGCGCAAACGCAAGCAGCGCAAGACGGCCGAAGACGAGCGCAGAAAGGAGGTTGAGGAATACGGCTTCAACCCCAACCACGACCCGACGCTCCCCGCTGTGGGTGGTCTCGCCATGGCCGAGGACGACAGCGGCTACCGTGGCTGGGGCAACACGGCGACGAGCTCCAATCGCAAGGCCTCGACCACCCTGACCTCTGGCATGACGTACTCGGACAGCAACAGCAACCCTGGTGGCTACAACAGCGCGCCGATCCCCAACTCGCCTACCCAGGGCACCTATTCGGATGTGCAGTCGAACGAACCCCTCTTCGACGGACGCCGCGAAACGCTCGACTCAGACGGCCTGGGCGCCCTGGGCGCTGCCAATGGCGCGGCTGCGACAAACTCTGCCAACAACGCTGTTGGCGTGCGTCGCGGTGTCTCCAACGCTTCCTCGCGCTACTCGGCAGCCGACCACTCGGATAATTCGGCCGACTACCCAGGCATGCCGGCGGCCGCCAACTCACAGGACTACTACAATGACCAGGGCTACTACCAGAGCAATAACCCCTATGGCCAGCCTGATCCCTATGGTCAGCCAGAGCCTTATAGCAGCTCCAACCCGAACCCGCAGCCGATAATACGGGATGTGAGTGCGAGGCGGAACACGAGGATTGAGAATCCAAGTGTGTTCCCCCAACAGGGAAATTCGGGAATTGCTCAAAACTTTTAGATTTCCACTTGTGGCCGGTTGAAAAGTGTCGTCTTTGTGTTTTGACACAATGCTAATTTGTACATTGCAACGCATCTATTCGTTTCATCATTATTACCACCACCATCACCAGACATTATTCCGTATCCGTCCATCTCCCCACCAATCTTTACCTACATTTTCTTTTTTTTCCTTTGTGTTTTTGTTTCCTTGCTAGGGCCCGGGTCTTTTCATCATATACCATAACGGTCGGCGTTGTATTGGACTATTTCTGTTCCTTTGCATGTGTATCTATTTGCTCGACTATCAAACTTTTAACTACCTTTTTAACACAGATTTTTGAAGTTTTTATGCCTCTGGGCTGCTACTTGGTATGTATGTGGTGCGTGTAGAGTACGTGTATGTGTGCGTTTGCATATGTCTGACTGGAGGCTACGCTACGCGCTTGTACACTGCTGTTTTGTGTGGAAAGTGGGGAGTGGGGAGTTGAGAGTGGCTGTGGTAGGGAAGTCGTGGGGTGGAGATGGATTGAGATTGGAATTGGGATTGGGATTGCAGGAGTATTAGTGTTGGATTTGGAATTGATGCTAGAGATTGGAAATGGAATTCAAAGTAATATTGGAGATGAGAGATTGGCGAGAGGGGCAAACATGTGTCGTGTCGTGCTGCTGTTGTCGTGTGGAGGAGATGGACTAGGTATGTGTGTTCATTGTGCATGGTGCGTGGTGCATGCTGCATGCTGCATGCTGCGTGGGGTGTATGTAGTTGTAGCTGTAGTTGTAGGTAGTAGAGATGTAGTAGATGTAGACACTAGTCTAGAGACCAAGAGAAAGACATGTTTAGAGTAGTTGTAGGAAATTCATTACACACACACACACACATATATATATATATATATATATATATAGGTCTAAATTAATCTCCATTATAATTCTAGAAAAGGGAGCGGAAAAGAGAAAAGGCAAGGGAGAAGCGGGTGGATATCTAAGAGGGGTGAGGGAAGTGAGGAGGCTAGGAAGTAGACAAATACAGAATACGATATCCAGGCTTACCGGTACCCTCAAGCACCACGCTCTCCCGCTTTCCCATCTAGCCTTGGCTATAGTAATAGCCCAAGTCCCTCGAGTTCAAGTTCTAGTTCCCGTTCCTCGAGTTCCAGCCCAAGGTCCTCGGGTTCTACCTTCTCCAGCTTCAATACTAATCTCTCCAGCTACAATCCTACTCCTTCTAGCTTCAAGGTCCTTGAGAACTAGGGAGAGAGAGAGAGATAGGCAGCACTGAGAAATGTACAAACATGTATCTTCTAGGCATGGGTCTGATTGCATCTAGATTTGACATCATGGATTCAAACAGCATCACAACAAGGCCATTATTGCTTAATTCATCATCACTGTATTTCCATATATTACTTGTCCCCTGCGCCCGCGTACACGCCCAAAACAAATGACACCGACCCCAAAGCATGACTAGACTAGACTCCGACCAAGCCCCTTTGTCCTCGAAATGCTGCAGAGACCGTGCTTGTGATTACTCAAACAAAACCTTTTCCCGCAACGCCGAAAGCGCCATATGCCCTGCCTGTCCGTCTGATCCGTCAAGGTAGGCAAATCGCCCAAAGAGAATGCAAGCAAAAAGAGTGGCATCATCGCCATACTGCAAAGAGGACCGGTCATGAGGGCATTAATTGAGCGATGGATTATTCGGATTCGGCTGGCCATTGCTGACCATGCCGTTGGACATGTTGCTGGGGACCCGTGTCATCGAGGGCAGAGCGAATTTGGGCACCGACTGCTGAACCGGAGCAGGAGCAGGTGGCTTAGGAGGCAGGTGCGAAGGCGTTCCGTACTTGGCGATGCTGTTCTGTAGCCCAGACTGTTCGCCGGGCTGCGAGGCAATCCTGTTCATCGATGAGCCTGCACTGTTGCCCTGCATGCTCTGAGGAGACCCGAATGACGGCGTCGAGTTGGCCGACGGACTTTGTCGAGGCATTTGGGCATTTATGGAATTCTGGTTTGGGCCTTGAAAGACACCGTAGCCAGGCATCTGGGGAGGACCGTGGCCCATGTATGAGGGGACACCATGCGGGATGAAGGACTGCGTTGCCGGATTGAATTGAGGCCGTGTGTAACTACCAGGAACAGGATGTTGGTTGCGATTCGGCTTCCCATTGTAACCATTGGGTGGGTATGGGTACGGGTATGGCCCGGGCATTGGCGGTTGGTGTGGTGCCGACATGGGTCGATTGCCAGAAGTCGGTGCCATTGGGTACGAGGGCTGCTGAGGGGCCTGGGGCCAGCCTGAGGTCATGGGCGCGTGTTGAGGATGCTGGTAGTTGTCTTGATACGGGGCCATCTGTGGATTGGCCATCTTCGGTGTAACCTGCGAAGCCATGCCTGCGTTCTGAAACGATGACATGCCACGCTGAAAGTCCGCCGAGAGATCATATCCATTCTGCCCCTGCCCACAGCCAGGGTACATCATTGAATTGTTGGGAGGCGGGTACTGCTGATGATTCCAACCGTATTGTGACTGTGACTGCATGTCCGGCGACATCATGGTAGGGTATGGTGCGCTGTAGGATGGTGGCGGAGATGCAGCAACATTCATGCCTGTGTACTGCGCGTTTGGTGCGGGGCCCGGAAAGCCGTTGTAGTAGACTACACTGTCTCCCTGATAGCCGGGCACCGGGTATTGCTGCGGATAGTATGCGTTGAAGTGGGATCGAGCTTGGAAGTCGTCGTCGTCATAGTTTCGCTGTTTCCTAACGGCCTTCTTCTTTCCAGACGCCGAGCTTGACCTCGAGATATCTTTCTTATCATTCTCTTCCCCTGATCCAGTCCCCTCAGCTGTCTCGTTCTCCTCGCTCTTCTCGCCAAAGATGCGCTTTCGAGCTTCGCGGTAGCGAGCTTCGCGTTCTTCACGCGTGAGGGCGCCCTTCTCCTTGCCGTCCGTACCATCGTTACTTCCCTCACTGCCACCCATCTCGGAGGTGGTCTTGGAGGGATTCTGCGAGTTGGCTGTCGTATTCGTTCCCGATTTACCATCATCGCGACGCATAATCTTGCGAGCAGGAAGTTCCACCGGGGGCGTACTGTTGCCCTTTGCAGGGTCGACCATTTGTGAGACAGGAGGAGGGCTACGAGACATTAGCACAAGCCGAGCAAGATATGGGCTTTGTAGCTTACATTCTACAGTATGGTGTGCGCGTAATTTTCACGCCGGTCATTGTGTTATCAACGACGTGGCCCAGCAGGTAATAATCAGCAAGACGATGAGCGAGCATCCTGTAGAAGGTATTGCAGTTGGGCAGAGAGTATTCGCTTTCACTAGAAACCCCATCAGTCAGCCAGGATGAATATTCGATTGCAACACATCGCATCTTACCGCGAGTCTTTGATGAAATCGATAAAGTCCTGTTCGATTTTGACCACAAACAAGCGATCGCGAGGGGATTGGAGCGCTTCCAGTAACTTCTCGTCTGGAATGGCAGGCATGTTTGGCGGCCCATTAACCAATGGCTGGGAGATGGGCCTTGCTCCGTTCGCCGACTGACTGGGGTCATATAGGGTTTGCGAACTGTTGGGCAGGTTGGGAAATCGGCCTGGGGGAACACCGCGATGAGGCTGAGGGTTCATGACTGCAATCTCATGGAGCTGGTCGCGGAACGCACGGGCGGCGCCGTTGTCAGAACCCTGTCGAGAGTCTGCAATGACCGACTCTGGGGGAGAGGTGATGTCCTCTTCCTCGACTGCACGGAGGCTAGCGCTATCATCTGGTCTAAGCGACTCCTTCTCGTCGAGAGCAAAGGTTGTGCCCGAAGCGACGCTCTTGCCATCGATGCTAGGAGGCTTTCCAGAGCCATCTGAAGAAGATAGTTGTGTGCTACTGTCTTCTGCAGCAGCGACCTTCACAATCGTGGCCGACTGCGGTCCGTCTCGACCGTCCGTTTTCACTTCGGGTGGCTGCACGGCAGACGATAGCGAAGTGGGTTCGACTGGCTGGACTGCTTGACCCGCTGGACTGCCATCAGGCTGAGTAACTTTGCCATTTGCGTTGTGGCCAACCACCCCCTTGGCGGCCTCGCCATTGCCAGAGGCAGACATGGAACGCGCTTTTTGCGCGTGGACCGATACCCTGGGTGTTGCGACCGGTGGCCGGGGTTTGGGGGCAGCGTCTTTTGAAGCTTGGGACTTGAGGGCGGAAGCCGCGACCTAAGCAGGTCAGTCCCGTCGCGCGAGAAGAAGATGAGACAGGCACTTACTTTTGCAAAAGAGGGTCTCAGCTGGGCCTGTTCAGCAGGTGCTGGCATTGCAGACGCCATGACGGTTCGTGTGCGACGGCTATGGCAGGGTTGAAAGAAGGTCGTGTGGTTGCGTGGCAGCTGCTTGCACGCTGTTGCGCAGCTACAGGCCCAAAAGCGGGGAAGAAAATCGAAGTTGAGAATGTGTGAATAGATCGGTAGCAGCTTCAGCGCCCGATCCAGTGACAGATGCTTTTGCTGAGACGCGTCGAGACTTCACGGAGCTCCAAGGGCCACAGAATAGATGGTTGTGGGAGCGAAAGGAAGGTAGGTTTGGTAACCGAAGTGATGGACTAAAGTTTTTTTTGTTTCAGGAAATGGGATGCTCAAGGAAAGTCGCAATAGCCGTGGCCAGAAAGCAGGACATGTTGGTGTGCCGACATTCGTAGCTGTAGGTTGTGTCGTGGTGGTGGTGGATGGTTGGTGGTTGGTGGTTGTTGTGGTTGTGGTTGTGGTGTTGGTGGTGATGGTGGTGGTGATGGTGGTGGTGGTAGTAGGGCGAGCGTAGGTTGTGGGTGAGGGAATGCGGTGAAGCAGCCGTGACGGCAGACGTGCGTGCAAAAGTTCAAGCTCAAGTTGCGGGCGTCTAGTGGGTGGCGGGTAGTGGGGAAGAAGGACAACAGCAGCCAAGCAGACAGCCTGTTTAGGTAGCAGAGGCAGAGGGCGCAGGACTATGTGCCTCTGTACTCTACAGGCGACTACGGTGAATTGCAGGGTGGGAGGATGAGGCAGCGGGACCAGGCTGAGGGGAGGGAAAGGCGGGGGAGAGAGCTGCACGCGCAACAAGGCTCGACACACAGACACAGACACAGACACAGACACAGACACAGACACAGACACAGACACAGACACAGACACAGACACAGACACAGAGAGAACACACACAAACACACAAACAAACAGCGAAAAAGAAGGGGGAGAGCGAAGAGACAGAAGAGGACGCGAGAGAGAGAGAGAGAGCCGAGCCGAGAGTGAGGCTGAGGCCGCAAAGTTGGGCGTCGTTTTCCATGTCCGTGCACGTGTCCGACGCATTTCTCCGACACGTCACGTGCCATGGTTTCTCGTCTGCTATAGAGTAGTAGTCGACCGTACTTCCCCCAGTCGCGTCCGCGTTGTGAGTCCTCGATATAGCAACAAGCGTGTGAAACAAAGCGTGGCAGAAAGTGAGAGACATAGTCGACACTCCTACCTCGCCCGCCATGTTCCGTCGTCCAGGCACCGGGCGCTCCAAGGCTTCAGCCGACACGCTCTGCCAAAAATGCCTGAAAAGAGGCCACTACAGTTACGAGTGCACCACGTCTGCGCAAGAACGGCCATACAAGTCGCGGCCCTCGAGGACCCAGCAGCTGCTCAACCCAAACCTCCAGCCAAAACTCACCACCCAAGTCCCCACCGAACTGCTACGCAAGAAGGGCGTCGCCGACGAGATTCTCAAGAAGAAAGAAGAGGATCGACGACGCTCACGCTCTCCCTCGTCATCTGCAGACTCAGTGTCCACCATATCCACCAACCGCTCGCCCTCTCGCTCACCATCGCCCCCACCGCGAAAACACAACGCACACCAGTCCAGAGAAGGCTACGCAAAGGCGCGCGGTCAGAAGCGCAGACGACGATCGGAATCCATGGACTCACGCTCATCCGACAGCGAGGGCGAATACGACCGCAACACTCGACGGCGCATGAGCTCCTTCAGCCCCGGTGAACGCGGCCGCCGAAGATCACGCTCCCAATCCTCACGTCTGCGCCCCTCGATCGAGGATGGCGCCGCCAGATCCCATCGAGACCGAAGCGGCAGCGCACACTCGCGCAGCCGGGGCGCAAGAAGAAGAGGAAGAAGCCACGACAAGCCACCACACCGGCGATTCTCCCCCTTGAGGTCCGGGTCCAGATCCAGGTCCAGATCAAGGTCAAGAAACCCAGATCGCATGGACATATCCGAGGAGCAGCCCAGAATCGGGGCTCCAAGCAGTCGAGGCAGATGGGGCGCATCGCCTCCCCGACGACGACCACCGCCTCGACACAGCCGTGACGACAGGAGCCCAAGCCCATACTCGAAGCGGGTAGCAGCCACCCGACAACTATCGCCCCCTAGTTCCCGGCACCCGAGAAGCAGCGAGCGCGATTACCACAACGGCGAGCCCCGTGCTCCTCCTGCACCGGCGCGAAACCGCTTCGCTGATGAGCCTGCTGCTATGTCGAATCACTGCACCGCGCCACCTGTTGCGCAACCGCCTCCAGCCCCGGTACAGAGACAGCGCAGTCTCAGCCCTTTTAGCAAGCGTGTGGCTCTTACGAGAGCTATGCAAGCGGGTTGATTTGGGGAAGTGGAGGGGGGGGGGGGAGGCCATAAAATACAACACTATAATGCAAATGCATTGCCATTTCAGAAACGAT